CATTTCTTAAACCAATAGGCACTACAGTAGCGGATCTGAAGCTCATTTAAGGGGGGGGGCGAATTGGTATCATAGAATTTCAATATATACATATTAGTCAATAAACATCTGTTATATATATATAAAAAAAAATTAAACCATATAAAAATTCAACAGTCTTTTATTCAATATTAAATAAACAAATGTACCTATTAATAATTTATTTGAGCAACAATTGTATATGGTTATTTTTTATCAGCCGCAAATTTGTCCATGAACAATGAAAATAAAGTATTCATCACTCAATATTAAAATTGAGTTATTTACCACAGTCACAGTGAACAAAATATTTAATTTATTTTATAAAAATGAAGTGATAACAGATTTGATGGTAGGAAAAAAAGTCTCGGGGAAAAAAAGTCCCGGGAAAAAAGTCTCAAGTCCTAGGAGGACGTGGCCACGTTGCCCCTCCCCCTCAAATCCGCCACTGAGGCACTAAGACTAAATATATTGAGCAATATTTTTCTTATTATATACCTAATATATTGTAAGTAAGTGTATTTTTGCAACGGTGTGACGTTCTAAATGTAATAGACAGGATTCTTTACTGGATTATTATAGAGGTGCAAATTGAACAGACAATAATTCAAACTCAGATTCTGATTCTGAAAATATTCCTCCTAATAACGGGAATAGGTACCTACTATGGGAAATTAGTAGAAGGATCTTAGTTTGAAACGTTTTTTTTGTTGTAGAACGTCGAGACAAAGCTACACTTATTCCAATAATTGAAAAAGAAATACTTCCAGGAACAACAATCATGTCAAATGAATGGAAACCCTACACATTTTTATAAAATTAAGGTTAGGTATGATCACTTGACTGTAAACCATTCTGAAAATTTTGTCGACCAGCTAACAGGACCCAACACCCAGACTATAAAATGCATTTGGTCACATCTTAAAATGAAAATACTTCGAAAAATGCATGACATTACATCGAAACTTTTACATAGTCATCTAATTGAAGCATGGTGGAGGTCAGTTATTAATCTTCAACATAATGTTTTTAAATGTTGAGGTCTGTAGCCTGTAGGTACTTGACATTTTTTATAATTGGCTACCTACTTATTTTTTATTTTTTGATATTTGACGAACATTTGTATGATGTGACGGAATAAAAAATATAATTTTTAATATATTAAAATACTAAACTATTAAAAAATATATTTTTAATTTTTACATAGATCAGTGATCACTCAATCGTGGAAGATCACCTGCTACACGAATGCCCATAGTTTTTTATGTGGGTGCTTACATAGATGTAATATTTAACTTATTTTCAGTAAAATATAGAAATATTTCTTTAAAGTACTTAGTTACCTAGTCAGGTACCTAGTTAATTATTTATAATATGTTTTATGTCGAATTAAAACAAAAATGTAATCAATAAAAAGTTTTGCTGTTGTAGGAATAACAGGTGGGTTATGTTATTGTGTTCTAGTATTTTAAAGTTTTGAAATGTTTGTATTAAAATGTATTAGGTATACACATGGACGTCGGGTGAACTCATGGTGGGGTCATGGGGCTTAAATCCCCCCCATTGAAAATTCCCGAGAGTGCCACTGGGTTTGCATTATTATTTATTGGTTATTGTACAAAATGTGTAAGTAGTAGGTATTTATGATAAACAGAAAAACTTTTTTTTTTTATGTACCTAATGTGTCTTAGAGTTTGACGGGGTGGTTGATTATATATTTATATGAATTAGTTTGACTGTTCAAGCAGTGCCGTCATTTCAGTTTTTGAGAGGGGGGCAAAATTTTTGACCGGCCCAAAATAAAACTGAAAAAAAAACCGCTCGCTAACAATTACATTACAAATTAGTGGACATGGTCCTAAACTCCTAACAGATATATTATGGACTATATCAAGTATTTAAATATATTCCATGATATTGCCATAGCTGGTAACTAAAGTAAATTATGTACTATTATTATATATTATATTGTATATTTAACTTGTAATATTGTGCGCTTGAAATGTCAAAAAAACCCACCAAATTTTAAAACAATATTATTTATTTGAAATACGATGTAAACATGTAAAATACATTCACTTGATTACCCTAAACTACAATAGTTTTATTTAATATTTATCATTCACAGTGTCACCTTCTACAATATTTATATATTTTATTGTAATGTAACAAAATCCCATTCATCCAGTGGAAAAGTAAGTTATTTAGTCATTTTATTCGGACATACATATCCCTCCAAGAGAAGGGATGCAAATCGGACAGACCCCTACAAAATTTTGGACATTCCAATTTATATTTTTTTTTTTGGCATGCAATTCGGATGCATCGCTAATGAATGTATACATACAAGTATAAAATGTAAACCATAATATTAATATACCATAAATAACAATATATATATGCCTACCTAATAAATGAACGATATGTACCTATAATTATGTATATATCTAAGCAATATGTTTTCACGGCATAGTAAATTATAATTATTTATAGTAAGGTAACACAATATTTTACTTCGATTACTCCTGGCGATCTCGAATTGAATATCGTGCTCATTGCAATCGGTGGAACGACATCGTTGTAAGTCCACTCCGCTGGATTGTGTCCGGCGTGTACGAGCTTGGTCCCGAAATTCGGATCTTTTACGTTATTTTTCTTCACGGACCCGTTGTCGCACATTTCTATTTTTCGCCAAACTTTTAACGAACGGAGATCTGGAAAACTTTACCTATTAACCTGCTCCTCTGTTGATTGACGACCTTCGCCAAAATACACACCACTGATTTGTACGGTATAAACTACGATTGTTTCGTGTGCGTTGGCGGACCTAAAATGATCTATGACACGCATCGATGGCTCGTGACAAATTACAACATAACTCCGTGAACAATATTAAATTATCATTATCTAGTAGGCACGCAATGCGCATAATAATATGGACTAATTTCGTTACAATTAATAGGACGATGTAATTAATATAATATGAACTCATTCGATCGATTGGTGACCGTCCCGCAGTGTTTGGAAGCTATTAACATCATAAGCTATGTTATATAACCGAACAATAATTAAAATCTATTATTTATGCGCACATATATTATACTAAAAAATATAATTTATTGTAAATTTGCTAGTGTTATTTGTATGTATGTATTATGTCCATCGAACAATTGTCTGGAATTCTAGATTATTATGGTTATTAATTATTATTATTAGACTATCCGAAAATGACTGGACCTAATCTCAAACATTTTAATTTGGTCATGTTTCATAAGCAATAACACAAATTGTAAAAGTTCACCGTAGGTAGATAAAAGTTTGTAATTAACAATTGTAATATACTATATTTTACATAATAATAATATCCCTACCTACTTGTATTTATAACTAATGGTATGAGTGTATTGCCTATGACTGTGGATAATTGTTTGATACTTCTGAATCTAATAGGCACTGCATATATTGTTATATTTTGTCTAAAATAAATATGTGAAAGAGAAAAACATAAGCCATTCCTTCATAAATTCAAAAAAAAGTATCAAAAAGTAGCACCTAATAAGCCCATATTAACTATTTTTATTTTAGTACAGAGCTGAAAACTCATTTTTGGATGTCCCAACTTCATAATTGTTGGCCTTCCTATGGCCCTACCTAGATAAAAGTCCTGGCGCCACCAGTGTTATTAATCTGGATTAATTATCATTGGATATCCGACAAATTTACCTACTTTAAAAGGGTTAATAGAAATTGTTTTTAACATAAAATAGACGTAATATAATATTCAAATGTGTGTGTATAGGCAGTCTTGAGTCTCAAAATCATAATAAAAAATAATATTATATTGTTTATTTGTATGTTATAGTATATGAGATATTTTCATCCTGAAGCTCATAATGGCTATAAAGGGTGTCCAATAGGGATAACCAGATGTTACCAAAGCTGTGAAAGTATTGTAATATAACCATTAACTATATATGATATTTAATTATTGAACATTGCAAATATATTATAGTTTAATAGTAATTATTCAAAATAATTTAGTTGACCTTAACAGCCAATAACTATTATTGATTAACCTGGTGATTACAGATATAATAATTATTATTATGTACTATAACACCTTTTAATACACTTACATCAGTATTATCACAATTTATTGTTGTAATGTTAATATTATATTGATGATCTATATGTTTATTTATAATCTACATTGATCATATAAATAAATATTGTAAATACAATACGCACATTGTATAATACAATGATAAAATGTAAAACTAAAAGGGAATGAACAAAAATATTGTTTAATAAATTCACTTTTTGAATTATATTGGAATGATCAAATTCATAACATTGCTTAGGTATATATCTACGATTAACAACTACAATAATTTAATGGTATAATTAAAATATGAAAAAAAAAAAACAATAAATCACAAAATACCGCATTGAAACAATGATAATACATAGATAATAAAATTAGAAGAAATATATATTAACTGCAATAAGAAGTTATCATATATAAATCTTTTCAACCTAGTGTTGTATATATGAAGAATCTACAAAATGAAAACTTTAACATCTGTACATTATTAATTTGTATTTAAAAGTGTATTTTTATGCATACATTATTTTAAGCTTTTCCTGTAAGAGCAGTGGTTCTGTCTGAACTGGTACCCTGTTCTTTCTCCAACTGACGACCAAGATACTCCCTACAATAAATTTAAAAAATCAAATCAATAATACGTTTGTTTAAATCAATTTAAAAAAATGTATTTTTATTTTTAACTAATATTTCATTATAAAATAAATCTTGTTTACTTTGATAAATATTAGTATAAATTGCAATCAAACAAAAAAAATTTGAATTTTCATAATAATTTAGTACATAAGAAAAACTATGTACAAAAAAAATGGTCAATATATACAATGTGTAAACGCTAATTGAGAATACTCAATATCTTTGAGTAGAGCCCTGCAACTTGAATTCTGATTTCTTATTGGTTGTTATAACATAATAATACACCTTTTTTTCTCAAATGGCAATCACCTATTTTAACCACTAATTATTTTTTGCCTAATTTTTTAATGCATTTTAGTGGTTTAACCAACTTTCTAAGTCAAAAATTTATCAAGTTACAGCCAATCAACAAAAATACTGCAAAATATGCAAAATTTTTAGATTTTTTACTGTAATTCTGAAAATAATTATTTTAAGACTGTTTAGGCTTAACATTTTCCCCCCTAATTATTTAGATGATATTTATTACACATGCGGGTATCACGTCCTCTTAATGTTTTGGCAGGTCGTGTGAGTGTGAGTGAAAATAAATTCATGATTATAATACGATTGGCCACCTATAAGCCCGTAATAATTATAGACGTAATTTTGGGCCACTGAATATGTAAATGGGCCGCTTATAGAAGTGAAAATCTCGATGGGCCGATACATACTATCCGGCCCTGGTATTACCTAAATATTACCTAAATAATTAAGTGTGAGAATGTTAGCCTAAACAATCTTAGAATAATTATTTTCAGAATTACAGTAAAAAATCTAAACATTTCGAGTTTTTTGCAGTATTTTTGTTGATTGGCTGTAACTTGGTCAATTTTGGACGTAGAAAGTTGGTTAAACCACCAAAATGCATTAAAAAATTAGTGGTTAAAATAGGTAGTCGGCATTTAAAAAAAAAAAGTTGAACTGAGCATGCGCAAGTCTAATTAAGTTAAAAAAATTCAAAGGCTATAAAAAGGTATATTTTTATGTTATAACAACCAACAAGAAATCAGAATTCAAACTGCAGGGCTCTACGCAAAGATATTGAGCGTTATCAATTAGCGGTTAAACACTGTATATCATTAAAGATAATAATATATTATATATTTAAAATGCAATTTTTGAATTTTTCAACATTTATATTTATATAATTAAATATACAAACTAAACTAGTTCACACTTTAAGTATATAAAGTATATACAGTCAATGTTGGATTTTGGTAATTACATTTTTTAACTATTTATTTATTTATTAACAACCAAACCAATATTTTTTCAGAGTCACAACAAGTATACTCAAATATGATATACAAATTCATAAATCATAAAAATTTTAATGTAAAGATATGGTAAATGTTTTAAGTTTTATAAAAGGTTAATTCACTTTAATACTAAAATTAAAAATACCAACTTGGTTATGCTAGTAGCAAATTTGCTATGTTGCACGTGGGTCAGGCAGTGAAAACAAATAGTGCGCTAACATTATCTTAAAAATTAACTACCATAGGTCCCTTTGGGTTAAATACTTGAATGGCTGTTTTCCTACAGGGACACCCTCCATTTTTGATGTCATGCATTTTGAATAAATTAATTTTTTTTTTATTATTATTTTTAATCCCTTTAGGCCACTAATATATCATTTGGTAAAAAATGTTCTCTTATAAACTATCCTAAAAAAATACTAATTATTAGTCCAACGACACGAAAAACCTTCCAATGACAAATAAATGTGTTTGACAGACAACCCAGGGTCATATGGTGTATAGATATAAGATAATGATAAGGTGCAATCACCGACGTCTGTTAAAATACTCTCATACCCAGATACTGTGTGGATGTCGGTAGTTCCATGGCAGTCAACATGTTAATGTAAGATTATAAATAAGGCTCGGATTTTAAAGCATATGCTTCTATAAGAATCTAATTAGTATACATTAATTCTTTTCATATTATCATTCTTATTCCAAATAAACAAATTTATTTTTGCTTTTTTCGGCTATATTTATGTAAATGCTTTTTTTATCCTTTTTTGCAATTATTCCAACTGTGGCATTTTAATATGTTTATCATACAATAATTATAAAAAAAAATTTAATTTAATTAATAAGAAATGTAAAACCAAGAAAATGGAGTAAACAGTTATTGAATTATTATTATTTTTGTTCCAAATATAGTAAAATACAAGGTATTTAATTATTTTTTTTTAAATTTAAATTAACTTTTCAATTTTTTTAATTAATTTTATACCTAGTTTAAGTTAATTTTTGGTCATGCTTCTTTTTGCTTTCTTCAAACAATTTTATGCTTTTTTTTGTTATTAATTGTGCTTTAAAACCCAAGCCCTAATTATGAATAATTTTTTCAAGAACCTAAGTTAGTAGTATAGTTTACAAAAGTTGAAGATACTTGGAATTAATTTTATTACAACTTATAAGGTAACGATCAAGTAATCAATAAGGAAAAACAAAATATTAATCAACAATTTATGATTTAAAATCATACCAATTGTGCACCATAAGTTTTTGTACAGCTAATAGTGCTTCATAACGCACATTTGCATCGTCGTGTGATAACAGTTGCATAACAAGTTGTTTTCCACCTAGCTGTTCAATAATGCTGTAAAATATTAAAGAAGATTCGGTAATATGAAATAAATAAATTTGTTATAATAAAAGTTAAATATTATATGATATGTTACACTCACTGTTTTCCACGTGGATAATGTCTTACATATTCACCAACATCAAAACTAGCAACACTTAAAACGAGTGGGTCTCTGCTTGTTTCCAACAAATGCACTAAGATACGTAAAAGTTCATAATTTCTTTCATTTAAACGGGATGCATTTTCTCGCCAGAATTGTGCTGATCTATGCACAGGGCTCCATTCTAATCGGCCA